CACCTTCTTTACTGGTAAAACCAGCCTTCAGGAATCTCAGGTTTCTATGACTAGAGGGAAAGTCCAGGGAAAAGAAGGTTCACCCTGGGTAGAGAAGGATCAGGTTAAGGAACATTCAACCAGACCAGACATGTACAAGTTCCAATAGGATACACCACAGGAACTGTGGGAGCTTGTCAATGTCACTGCGAGGCTACTCTCAATTATTTTTAAAAGGTCGTAGCAACTGGAGAAGGTCCCTGAGAACTGGAAGAAAGCAAGTATTGCTCCTATCCTCAAGAAGGGCAAGAAGAAGGATCTGGGGAACTACAAACTGCTCAGCCACATCTCTATTCCTGGGGAAGGTGATGGAGCAAATTATCCTGCAAACCATTTCCAAATGTGTTAGGGGAAAGCAGATGACTGGGACTGGTCAGTATGGATTTATGATAAGGGAATCTTGTCTCATGAAGCTCAGCAAACCAAGTCCTGCACCTGGGCAGGAACAGCTCCAGGCAGCAGGCTAGGCTGGGCACCAACTGGCTGAGGAGCAGCTTGACAGAAAAAGATGTGGCGTCCTGGTGGACATCAAGTTGACCTTGAGCCAGCAATGTGCCCTTGTGGCAAAGAAGGCCAATGGCTTCGTGGACTGTGTTAGGAGCGCTGCCAGCAGATTGAGGGAGGTGATCCTTCCCTGCCCCTCAGCCCTGGTGACATATATCTGGGTCCAGTGTCTAGCTCTGGGATCCCCAGTTCAAAAGAGATGTGGACATACTAGAGAGAGTCCAGCAAAGGCAACACAGATGATGAACAATTAGAGCATCTGTCATACAAGGAGGGGCTGAGAAAGCTGGGACTGTTCATTCTGAAGAGAAGGCTCAGGGGAGTACAATCAATGTATAAATACCTGACAGGAGGCTGTAAAATAGATGGAGCAGTACTTTTCTCAGTGGTGCCCCATGAAAGGACAAGAGGCAACAAACACAAATTGATATACAGAAAGTCCCACTTAAACATAAGAAAAAGCTTCTTTACTGTGAGAGTGGTTAAACACTAGAATAGGTTGCCTGGAGAGATTGTGGAGTCACCCTCCTTGCAGATACTCAGAACCTGACCAGACTCAGTCCTAGGCAAACTGCTCTGTATGATCCTGCTCAGAGCACGGGTGGATCTCCAGAGATGCCTGTCAGCCTTAACTATCCCATGATTCTGTAAAGGTTTAGCTAGTAGGCAGCACCCTTGTAAGACCTGTATAACTGGTAAAACTCTCCACAGTGCAGTAGGACAATGCCGCCCTCTCTACGTCAATGTGCACCCCTTAGACGAACCAGAAACTTACAGCGTTATCTAGCTGGCTGTCTATGGAGTTACATGCGCCATCACTTAGCATTCAGATCCTGAACACTCTACTTAGAGTTCAGAGAAATTAAAAACACATATAGAAGGAAGACTGCTTGTGAAAGATTACAGCTGGGCTTTGCTTCACAAGTTCTTCCACTGGCAACAGGAAGTAGGTCTGGCTTGTAACTCTAGTGCTGCCATACAAAAAGGCCTGTCCACAATTAAGATAAAATCCTTACTGAACCTAGTGGAATGCTGCTGGCATTACCATCTATCTCTTCCCATACTTTCCTTTAATTCCATCAAACAGACTTACTTTGGCTTGAAACTTGCCATATTTGCACTTTGTCCAGAAGCAAAGCTTTCTGGATAGTTTCAGCAAAATCTGTTATCTTTTTCCTCTCCACTTTTGTGTAAGCTTAAATTACTTCCAAACAAAAATAGTTCCAGAAATGAGCTCTGACTGTGAAACTTTTTCAACAGAATATAGGGGGAGTTTGTCTGATCTGTTAAAACATAGTAAAAGGATAAAGTACGCTGGATCTAATGATCAAATATATTGCAGTCCAAATTACTACATCATTCCATGTAAGAAACCAACACCTACAGACATGCAGCTGTATCAAGACTTGGAAAGAGATATGAGCTTTTTCTGCACAAGGTGTTACACATCTCTAAACCACATAAATCCACTTGGAATATAAAATAAATCATCAATCTTTTCCGATTTTCCCCCATTTAAAGTAAAAATACAAAGAGTAGTTTAAATAACAAAAGTGGGTTCTTGTAATACTGCAGTCACCCACAGACCATGACCTTGTTGGGATAAAATTGACGATAAAACTGTTTTTTCAGTGGTGTTTCGTTAATGGAAAAAACTGAATTTTCCTTATGAAAAGCCTAGCCCTTTTAAAAATAAAAAGCACAGGGTGAAAAAAATCTAGAAAGAAAGAACTAAAAGTCTGCTCCCTCTTCTAACCTGGAGACCCTTCGATATCCTACTACCATTTTAGCACAACCTCGTCCTGCAGTTTATCAGCCACTGCTGGGAGATACTTTTTTCACTGGTGGCCAGAAGAGGGAAAACCACAATGAAGTGGTGATTTAGTCCCATTCCTATAGCCTTTCTTTTTCTCCTCTTCTACCTTCTGCTGGAGCTCATTCTAACCGGCTTTGTGCAAGCACTTTCCGGGAACCCTTTTCCAGTAATTGGCAACAGTACAATACTCAAGCAATGCTCAAAACTGAACACAAGATATTTGTTCACCTTCACTGCTTGCTGGCATAAAAATAAATCTTCTACATAATTATGTATCACATACATCAATCTGGATAAGCAAAAGGCTAAATTAGGCTGCTGGAAAACAATAAAAGCCTGCACTCGTGTTTGTAATGTGCACTCAGAAAAACTCAGAACTGTGTAGAAATGAATCTGTTTTCTGCATTATATCCTGTGATGTTACTTATCTCATTTAGACAATTAATATGAAACAAATCAAAAAGAGGAAAAAAAAAAAACCCCATGCAGTCAAACAGGGGGATAATGAGGAACTGTGCTGCTAAAAGTGGGAGGCTGGCACTGTCCTTTGAGCAGAGCTATTTGAAAGAGCAGATGAGAACAGAGGCTGGGACTGGTGTCAAAGCCAGAGTGTAATTAGAGACAATTTCAAAGTCAATCTAGAGTCCCCAGAGAAGACAGGGAACCTTTCTGGATTCAAAAGTATGATGGAAAAGCATGAGAAGAGCGGGCCTGGTGCTTGGAGATCAAGCCATGTGCACATAAGCCATACATCAAGGGTGTTCGTATAGGCCCAAAGCTCCAGGCAGCGCTGCAGTAGAGCAGTGCTGGGTGAATCCTAACTCTGCTCTACTAGAAGAGGCAACCAGGGGACAAACAAGAAGGCAACTGGGAAAATAAGAGGAAGGAGGAACGCAAGAATCCAGAAAGCCTGGGAAGGGTTTTAGGACTACCATGGAGGTTGAGGACAAGAGACAGTGCTTCTGGACTCTGGGGCAGAGCTGTGCACAGTAATGACAACGAAGACAATCTGGGGCAGAAGAGTGGGAAGAGAAGGAAATTGATGGGAGGGGAGACAAATGACACAAAAGCATCTTTAAGACATGTGATTTGTCCAGTGCAGCTGCTGGGGTGCAGGGTGTGCATGCAAGGAGGGTAAGAGGCTCTCTTCTCTCAAAGGATCCTGCTTCTGCAACAGGGCAAACTCAGAGTGACACTTGCATCCACATCCATCCGTTTGCATGGGCTGCTCATCGCTCGGTTGTGACCCAGTTACTGGAGCCCCAACATCTGTGACTAGCTCCTGACAGAAGACTAGCTACCTGCAACTGATGCAGCTGGCACTCAGGGCTGACATACGTGCTGGTCAGGAACATCGGTCCAGCAGGGACATGCGCAATCAGAACAACATCAGCAGTGGAGTACAGTAAAGCCCCGATTGTAGCTTATGGACAGACATGACCAAAATCTACATAACCTTGCACCTGCTTCACTGTCCTTTGTGACAGGGAGTTGGCACAGAGCAGTAATACTGCAAGAAGATAGCACATTACAGTCTTCAAGCATGCCTGAACAGACATTTGGCCACCTTTCATTACCTCCCTGACCTCACACACAGGACCCTTGTTATGATGTTTGTAACTACAATGCCCTGCTGCAAGTGAGGAGATTCTCACAGACTTCTAATACCAATGCTTTTAGAGTGTTTAAGTAAATACTTTCCTTGCCTTGTCTAGATCTTCCATCCTCACTAAAGCAGTAGCTACGGAGACAGGAAAACATCACATGGATCCTGACACCAGTTTCAGTTCTCCCCTCTGGTGGAGAGGATGCAATACTTTCCTGGGAATTAGCACCTGTCTTTTCAAACACTGATCCTCACTTCTTCTCTTTTCTGGAGCTAGAACAAAGGACAGGAGTCATGGCAAACCACCTCTTTACACGCTCCACCCAGCCCTAGTCTGAAGTGTGGATGTGAGTTGGATGTGCTGATGGATGTGCCTATGGATTCCTTCTGGCTGATAAAAGGAAGAAAATGGAGTAGGTTTTCCCCATGTGGGCCTAATGCTCTGCTCCAAAACAGTGGCAGACAAAATTTCCTTGTAGTTGTGGAAGTGCAGTGAAAGAGGTAAGGAGCTGCAGCAGGAAGAGAAAGGTGAAAGTATGACTTGCCTCTCCCCTTGCATTGAGCCCTTAGATTCACCCATCTTGACATGTTATTCTTTTGGATGGGTTCTTGAAAGGTTTATTTAAGCACTGGTGCAACCTCTGACTTGATACCTTTCATCTCAGCTCCTTACTTCTCCTGTTCTTCTGTCTTGGTTGGCCAGAGCATAAACATGTATGTCTAAGAGCTGTTTCTTTTGTGTATGCACTGTAGTTGGTTCAGTATCTTTGGCTCTGCATATAACAAATAAGTCTGTAACTAGTAAACATTGCAATCAACGCATACACTGTGAGCTCTTTGCATACTGAACTAAAAAAACTATCCTACACTGAAAAAGCTTTGCTACTACGGTAAAACTATCAGGGCAAAGCTGTGTTCTGTGTTCACCATGGTAGAAGTACTGACCCTTCTTTAAACAGAGGCAAGCATTGGTAAAAAGCTTCTAATGGATGTGGGAAGAATGTGTTTAGGTTGAAGGGCACCTCAATCACATACCAGCTCCAAATGCAAAGAAGAAACTCTTGTCTGGGTACTCTTCCAGCAGGTCCTTCACCCTCCTGCCCATTCGCTCATTTCGCTTGTAGATGAGCTCCTGACGGAAGTAGCTGTCTATCTCTTGGGCAGTAATGCGTTCATGGGCCGGAAGTGTAGCATTAATGAAATTTGGGACCTACAGTAGAAAAAAAAAAAGTCTTCATGAAAGGGGCATTTATTTCATCAGGCAGCCATCATGCACAGGCATTTTGCTCCATCATTGAATGGGGCCATCACCTTGTCCCATAAGGCACATCCAGTAGGACAAAACCCAAAGAAAGCTAAAAAAATGACTCAGCAAACTTCTAACAATTCATAGTGCTTCACTTCTCTCAACATATCATTTCACAAGCCAGCCAGCTGAATTTTTTTTGACACAAAGTCAACAAATACTCTCAGTTTGCCACACCGTAGATCCCAAATCCTGATTGCTCGGCTGAAGAAAGTAAATATTTGCCCCTGGCTATCTTTAGCTACATACCTCTTCCTCAAATTGCCATAGGTATGACATAACTATAACGATAATTACACTCTTCTAAGAGAGTTTGACTGGTATCAGACCCCTCAGGCCATCAAAGAATAACTGTGCAATTTGAACTAGTTAACAAAACATCCCCAAACTTTCCAAAAGAAAGAGGGCCAGATTTTGTCAGGAAAGAAAGTATTACCGCCTCCAGTTCCCCTGTCCTCAAAGTATCTTTTAAAATGCTGGCTTCCTCCCCTGGGGCTCCAGGGACAACTGTGGCTGCACACTACCCTGACCTCTTGCTACTGGAGAGAAATGTGAGTCTGGAGTTGCACCCATCCTGGCTTCTTGACAAGTACCTTTGGGCATTGCAGCTGTGGGAATTGCTAAGGAAAGGGTCTAAAAGTGGTGGCTGCTGGGGAACAGAGCCACTAAGCCAGGTGCCTTCCGTTGCAAGGCTGCAGCTCTGGAGCCACTCAGAGACTATTACCAACTGTTTCCAAAGGGTTCTTAGCACGCAGTGAGTCATCTGTTGGGCAAGCATGGGATCAAATACAATTTACAGAGAAGTTCTGCTTAAAAACATAAGCTGATAGTGTTGCTGGCTATTGCTACTTAGCTCTGCTGTGAGGGAGAGTGCCCTGCAGTGGAGCTCCTCATGTAAGTAAAGGGCACTTGCTCCCTCAGAGACATGCATGTCTCGGCACGAGCTGTTCTCTCCAAGGACCTCAAGGCAATGCCATCTGTCTACAGTCTGTAACACCCCAGCAGAATAGTGATGCAGCATCAGTACACTCTTACAGTGCTGGTATCCTTTGAGAAGCCCTTTGAAATCTATGAATGAAGTGCACTGTGTAAAAGCTAAGCAGTGTTAACACCTAGGTTGCCTGCACCTGCAGGCTGAAGGGTGTGCAGGACACGAAGGTAACAACACGCACAGAAAGCTCAGTGCCAGAGAAGCAAGGGTTAGTATGACAGTATTTCCAGCTCTGCAGCACTGCACCGTATATATTAAAAGGCCATAGGAAAATGGTTATTCAGCAGGGAAAGTCCAGGTACCAACACCCACTTGTTCAGCACCGTGAGGCTAGAGCCTATGTTTTCATTGATGTGCACGAATTGCCAAGCAGTACCTCATGGACAAGAATAGAGAGGCCTGATGTCTCAGTCTGAGGTTAGCTAATCTAACAGCCCAAAGAGGCCAAATTGGTCCCTGCTGGGCATTTTCTTGTGGTTTAAAGATCAGAGCATTGCATTCCACTGTGCTGCTTAGGAAACCGTCTCCATAAACCAAGTCTGTGAGGCCTCAGAAGGTTTTCTTTTCCTTAACATTCAGTCTAAATCTATCTTTTCTTTGTTTCACTCCATTTCTCTTCTTTGGACCTTGCCCACAGTACACAATCATACTGAAAGGGGACATTAAAAGGCCTGCAACTTGCCCAGCCTTACACAACCGTCCAAGTCACGAGTGCATTTCTCTGTTGCTATTTGCACAAAAGAGCCTGCTGCTGCTCTCTCTTGGCACTAAGTTTGCTCATACCTAAGCTAGCGTATTTCCACAGGATCCTTAGGAAAGTAAAGGATTAACTCATAGAGCTTTGACACTAAAGCAAACACGGCACTCGCTCAAAAGGGAAAGCCAGGTGCGCCTTCGCTGCTTGCGTGCAGCAAGACAGGGGTGAGGTGGTGCAGACTCCTGGGACAGGAGGCGCAGGAAAGCAGATGCACCAGGAAGCCAGCTACGTGCCCTTGGCACTTGCCTGCAAAGGGTCTGCCTGAGGAGAGACGAGCGTGAGACAGGGGTTAGCACTATGGGGACATGTGCGTAGTACCAGGGCTGCAGTGGCAAGACTCACTTGAGAAGTGTCATGGTTGAAGATGATGGAGCTGAGGTCCCCACAGTTGTAATGCTTGATAAGGTCTTCTGTCGTATAGGGGATCTGGAAACTGCCTGCTCGGAGGCTCTCCTGCTGCAAGAGAGTCTGATTCAAAGCAAAGACCACCTGAGGGAGGGGGAGAGGGAGGAAAAGACAGAGTTCCTGGTGAGTTCTTGTCTTGCCCCTTGAGAAGGTCACAGACATACAGCTGCCCACCAAGGGGTCTCTGAAGCTGCTCCCACTCCAGGCGTGCCAGTCCACACATTGCCAACCCGCACTTCCTCCGGGTCTGCAGATACTCACACCTCAGGTCCCACAAGCCTGCTGATAGGGAACTGACTCACCACACATAACTCCATGAAGTTTTGCCCATGACAAGATTAATACAGAAGATACTAAGGGGCAGACTGAAACAGTGGCAATCTTGCTCCCCTAGACAACAGTTTGCCTGACCACCATAGAGCCCTAGGGCCTGATGCACTCCTATCCCCACATCTCCTCAGCCACCTACCTAAATTAAGCATGGATTCTCCTTGTTTGCCCTTTCTTCCTCATCCTCAAGGAACATTAACGCTGTGTTTCCTGCTTCGTGTCTCCTCCTCCCACACACCCTGTTTATTTCAGGCAGGAATGGCTCTCCAGAGCAGGCCACGGAAGGATGGTGGATGCTGGGGAACACAGATGGCCATCCTCCCTGCAAGCAAAGTGGGAAGGCAGTGGCCCTGCAGTGGCACAGTACTCTCCCGGGGCTGACTGCCTCTGCAGGGATGGAGGCCACCGGTGCTCACGCTCCCTACTCCTCCTTGCTGTTCACTTGGGAATGCAAACACTCCCATTCCCTTCACCTCAAGCCGAAGCAGCATGGCTGCCACAGCTCCTACCACCAGGGAGCCTCTCCCTTGACCAGAAAGGGAGAAGATCAGCAGAGGTCTCCTCCAGGTGTTGCTGCTTCCCCACCTCCAGCACAGCATGGCTCTCCTAGGGCGGTGGTCTCAGGCTGCTCCAGCAGCCTCCCACCTGGTGCAATGCACACCCCATGAGGATGACTGCCACTTAAAAGGCATGAGAGAGGAGTTTGGAGCAACACTTGACAGGGGCCTCTGGAGCCAAACAGATGATGCAGCACCTCTGTATCTCTCCCTTGCTGCTCCAGCCGCTGCAGCAGGCAGCCATCAAGCCCCGGAAAGCCAGGGAGCCAAGGAAGGACTTGGGGCAGAAACTCCACAGGCTGAGCATGGAGTGCCAGTGGGCATGTTGGCGGGGTATGGAGCTGGTTACTCACCCACACAGCCAGCAGCTGTCAGCTGTGGCAAGTAAAACGCTGCCATCTCTCCTGAACACAGTGCTTACTCAAGCTACTGCTGGTTTGCACACCAAGACTAGACAACTGTAACAAGCCTTCCTACTACCTACTAGCTTTTCTTTTTTTTTATTTCTAAAGGAAGTAAGCTGAGAGATATTGCTGAGGTCTTGAAATGCATTTCAAAAGTTACTCTTGGGAGGGTTACTTTCCAAGCTCTAGTGACTCTTTGCAGCCTGATGAGGGCTCTGTGTAATTAACTCCTCCTGGATATTTGTCTCGAACACCATCAAAAGCACTCTGGAACTGGAGGTATTCACCAACACCATGAAACACACATGAGTAAGCATACTCTTAATGTACTGAGATTATGTGAATGAAATCTTGGAACTACAGGACAGGGCAGATGTGGGAACAAACAGCTACAGTTTGCCATCCCCCAGCACAACAATCTGTCTCCTACAGAAAGGTGCAGGTCTGTCGTGGTTTAGCCCCAGCCAGCAACTAAGCAACACGCA